TCCAGTACTAACCTGTGAAGTTGGCGCCTTGATGCAGGTACCTCGAAAATGGAGCTGGAGCTATGGCGCCACAGGTAAGTACCGCTGGCCTCCGCCAGCCATCTCCCTCCACTGCAACTACTACCACCTACTAGCGCCCAGCGCTGAAGACTACAGCTATGGCTATGGGCGCCCAGCGCCGAAGACTACTACTGCCTAGCGCTGAAGACTACTGCAGCGCTCCTCCTGAGTGCTGCGGCCGAAATCTGAAGACTACCGTCCTACTCTCCAACTGCCTACYCGTTCAGTGCCTGAAGCTCCTATRTACTATCAYGGGTGCCTCCTGACTCGGGCGAGCAGTCCAGGAGGCTSCTCTTGCCAATAATGCCGAAGGGAGGCAGGGGCTGCAGCTGCAGCTCCTGCTYGTGCTCTTGCCAATAATGCCGAAGGGAGGCAGGGGCTGCAGCTGCAGCTCCTGCTCRTGCTCTTGCCAATAATGCCSCAGGGAGGCAGGGGCTGCAGCTGCAGCTCCTGCTCGAGCTGGCGTGGGAACAGGCCAGAAATAGCCTGTTCCGAAACCCAGTTTTCGTGCCTGAATCTTAGGGCAGGTCGAAACAAATGAGGGCCTAAAAATAGCCCAGGGCCTAAGAATAGCCCTCCGTTTCAGGCTGGAAAAACTCTGGGTCTGAAAGACCCAGAAATAGGCTGAAACGGAGTAGGGCCTGCAGGCCCTCGTTTTTCAGTTTTCAGGCTGAACTCCTAAGTTTTAGGCTTTTAGGCTGAATGTCCGGGACGGGTCCTACAGGGCCCGTGTGGCTACGCAGTATGCCACAGATAGTGATATATGACGACACAGTTTTTGAACTTTTTGGAGCTATAAAGTAGGGGGAAGGGCTTGCCTTTCCACTTGGCATTCGGCGGTGGTGGTGACCTCCTGAAGAGACCTGTATTACGCACAGGTCGAAATGCGTCGAGGGGAGCGTAATTTTTGTTCATGGTGTGTTTGACTTGCAGTAAATCTGGTGCTGTAGGTCCTCCAGAGAACTGTTTTTTTACCTGTTAGTCATTGCCCTGATTTCTTCTTCTTCTTCTTCTTCTTCTTCTTCTTCTTCTTCTTCTTCTTCTTCTAATGTCTTGCCGTTTTACTAGCTTGCTCTAGTTATCACTCATTTAGCATTGCAAGTATTTTCCATAATGATGGTGAAGTGAGCCTCCAGAGTCTGGTGACTCTGGTTCCTTATGCCACTCATGGCTGATAACAACTAGATGTGCAAAGATAACAACAAGACTGACAAACATGCAACAAGCAAAAGTCGAGCAATGACGGATGAAAGTTGTATCAAGGACAACAAGAGGTTAAAGACTTGGCGGCTGCACTCGCAGTACTGCCAAGTGCTCACCCACTTTCTTTGGAGGTCTCCAAGTGACCAGAGCCGAACATCCGATGCCGTGTAGAGGCCCAATTCCTTTAGGGTCATTTCCAAGCGTGATCCAACTCCAAACAACTGAAAGGAAACAAACAGCATTTCAAGAATGAATACCAGCCAAATTAACACTGAACTGTCGAGTTTCGATTTTACAGCTCAAATTTTAAGAGAAAAATCAAAATCACCCAAAGTTATCACCAAACTAGCAAGTCTAAACTTCAAAGCTCAAGCATTAAAACATCCTCTCAAGCCAAAGGTATTTCAAAAAGGGGAAAACAATTCTGTTATGATCCTGCTCAACTCACAATGCAAAACTGAACCTTGAGACAATGCAAGAATTTGCAACTCAAGGAGAAGTGGGAAAAGACATGAAAAGGGATAGAATGGAGAATGGTAGAAGAAGAAGAAGAAATACAGAGGTTTGAACCAATGCCATCTTCCTCTCTTCTCCCCCATCATTATCTCCCTCCCGATCGTCTTCTCCTCGTCCTCTTTTTTTTTAAATCTTAGAATAAGTTATAAACAAAACACAACAATAATAAATGAATGATGAATGCATGGACAAGAATCAATGTCCAAACAATCCCCCTTACTGCCAGCCCTCAGAGAGCTCTCCTTTCAGCCTCACTCTCACTCCTCTCCTCTCGTTTGCATACCTAGCTATGGCGGTTCATCCATGACCACCCCCCACAGATGTTAAAAGGACACCGCAGCTACTACTGCCTCTCCCATCTCCTGCCGCCATAGCCACCACACTCACAGACGAAGCCCAAGTCCAAGCATTGCCCCACTAGGGCCTTCCAGATGCAACACCAACCAAGGAAGTGGAGATGAAGGTCCACCATAGCCAAAGGTTAGTCTCTCGTGTCAGTTCCTGCCTCCTTCCTCTCCCTCAACCTCTACTCTTCTTCCACCACCTACCTTCACAGTCTGGCTTGCGGTTCTTCTCCCTCTTATCTCCATAGGCTAGGCTTACTCCCTTCGACTTCTACCCCTTTTAGAGCCATGGAGATCTTCTTCCTCACCTAAGCTCCTCTGCTTCACCCCAGAGCTCCTCTTAACTCTCCTTCAAAGTGGTGCATCCACATGACCGCCCGATGAATGCCCAGCCTACTCATTGCACCAAATGATATACTCATGACTTCCGTCCTCCCGTACCTCTACTTGCGGGCAATTCAGCTTCAACCCTGTGCACTTAGGCCTAGCACAACTTCCAGTCTGTTGTGGGGAGCATCACTGCAGCCTGCAATCCACTTCTAGGGCTGGAATCTCACCCAGTACCTACCTACATTCGGGCCCTAGACCATCATGACCTTTTTCTTTGGGAGCTACCGTACTACCGTACTCTTCTAAGCCTACGGGACCTTCCTAGGCCTACCCAAGTTGCCGGAAAATGCTACCAGCTCCCTGCCAAATTCTACTTTTGTCTTGTCGGTTGTGGTTCTTCTATGTCCGTCCCTGCATACAACATCATTCCTACCCCTGTCGCTCTACCTATTTACTGTTCTGCTCCTCTCACTGCTCTCAGGACACAGAAAACACGGACGAAGCAAAGCTAGTTCACAAGCACAACAAGCATTACATAGAGACTTGGGTACAGGAAAAACAGAAAACACACTCAAACATCTTCAGCAAATCGGACCCACACACATCAATACTCAGAAATTGCACAAGTCTCAGACTGAATTGTGCGGGTCATTGCACTCCCACCAGCCCAGATGAAAGTCCCTTAGAGCTAGAGAGAACCTGGGGATCTGGACAGAATGTGTCATGGGCACAGAATGCAAAGTGAACGCTTGACTCGGCTTGAGTGTGTTGCAATTGCCTGCCAGTCCGCGTTTGTACGCATTAACAATACAGCGTGCAGTTTGCTGTAACTTAGATCGAGAAACCGGATTGAGTGGATGGTGTCAGAAATGCACTAGATATTTGTGTTTACGACCCTTACCCTTGTGATCACAAACACGGTCCACCTCAACGCCACTACTGATGGGGGGGAGATTCATAAAGGTCTGCTCGGAAAGTTGTCACCCTGCTTGGTCCAATTATGCAAGCCAGGTTCGCCCGTGCGCCACAGTCCGTCGCGGCCCACACGTCAACCCCGCATACTCAACACCAGCTCGTCGGATCACCCAACTCTCTCGTCTACTCACCTCCTAAGCTGACCCGTTAGCCGATCCTCACTGACCGCGCTAACTCCAAAATTTCATAGAGAGCAAAGTTATCGAAACTAGGGCAAGGATGACATTCAGAAGCATGAAACACACAACATGTATGCAGATGTGGAGGTACATTCACGGCGCAGGAGGGTCCACAATGCTCATCTCCTAGGACCATGAGGATGGCTCAAGGTCCACACTAGAGTGCCAGTAACTTAACGCGATATACTATGTCCCCATTGACGAACTCAAACATCGTGACCCAGACATAATCTCCTTCTTGGAATGTAGCAGGCCGGCACCGCTAATTCGTGTGCTTGACCATGGCATCTTATTGTCTGCACTTAATTGTGCCTGGGCAAGGGAATCAGAGAGGGTATGCCGGGAAAGTCATCGGAAGTGATGCAGGATAAAGTTTGGAAGCACGAAGCACCGGGTACATCTGCAGATGTGGAGGTACATCCACGATGTAGGAGGATCCCGAATGCTCGTCTTCTAGGACCTTGAGGATGGCTCAAGGTCCATAGCAGAGTGCCGGTAACTTAACGTGATACTCCGTCCTCATTGGAGAAACCGGCAGGTCGGCACTACTTATTTACGCACCTGACCATGGTATCCTGTTGTTTGCGTATAGTAGCAACTGCATGAGCAAGCAATTTCTGATACTTGACTTCGCAGTCGCAAGCAATTTCTGATACTTTGACTCCATAACTACTGTTCTGGCTCGCGACCTTGCCTCGCAACAGCCAATCCCTCAGGACCGCTCGTCTTTTGATTGCGTACTTCTCTGCCCTGTGCTTTGATGATGAGGTGATATTTCGCCATCTGGTTCGGATTCCGGTGTCCAGCATCCTCAGGAGGAACAATAAGTGACCTGCGAACTACCATCTTCACCCGAATAGAACGCCCGGTCATTATGGGCTGCATCTGGACTGAAAGTTGCCCCAAATACGGCTATAATAACCAGGCGCTCTATTCGGGTGAAGGGGGTAGTACGACGTTACTGCCTGGTTCATTTCCTCCGCTTGTCCATTAGTTTCCAGATGGTGACTTTAGGTCATGGCCAGTTGCGCTTCATAGACCTCAGTAGTGAAAGGTTTCCCCTGCGAGCTTCTGCAGCGTGTGTTCCGATCACTAAGACTACTTTTTGAGGACCCAATCAATTCTGTTGCCATGTTAGGAGCCAAGCCGTCTTTCATCGCTAGATGACCACGCATCTTGTGGTTGTTTCTCCTTCTTCTCCCACATTATTTTCGTTTTGCTGCCATCTATTTCTCTGCATGCCTCATATAGTAACCAATGTCCTTCTACCTTCTTCCCCCGAATGCAACGTATGGTCATTACAGCTGTATCTAGACTGAAAGATGCCTCAAATACAGGTATAATGACCGTACGTTGTATTTGCGGGAAGAAGGTAGTCTTTGTCCAGTTCACATTCATTTAATATGCTAGCCAGAACCCTTCCATTCCAACTAACCGGTTTAGAGGATACAAATCTAAAAGCGATGGCCAAGGACATTAATGCAGGGTCACCTCCAAATCGCAAAGATTCAACCGAGAAGTAAAATCAAACCGAACAGACAAGTAAAAAAGACGAGGTCTTAGCTCATCATGTACGTAGCCCTCCAGGAAAATCAATGGTTGCAGATAAGAAAAAGAAGAAAGAAAAACCTCAACGGCAACGGCCAGCAACAGGAAGGCAGTATCCACTGCTTAATCTAGAGCATGAAAGCCACATACTACTGGGCCAGAGCAAATGATCTTTGATCACACCTATCTCCCCCCCCCGCCCCCCCCCTCCTCTGAGCACTCCCTACAATTCCTCCAGTGGACTAACATTACTGGAAGGATTTAATGATGTGTCAGTATCCAGAGTCCCAGTCCCAGTGTCCCAATTGGTCCCAGTTCCACAATTAGACAGGCCAAGTGGCCGAAGTGTGGTTCGGAGTCCTTGGGTCCGGTGGGGTCCAGTCGTCGAAGCACTGTAGGTCGTTACGAGTGTGGCCCGGTACCCGACAGAAAAAAGTCCAAAGTCCCAAAGTCCACTTTTGCAAAGCAGCATCCTGGGAAAGTTTGGTAGGTTCTGGGATTGGCAAAGTGAAGCCGACAGGACGCAGTGACCGGAACTTGTCCGAAGCCGACCAAGATCTCCCAACAATTGATATTTAATGATGGTATAATGCCGCTTGACTTCACTTGTCAATTCGTATAATGTGGAAGCTCTGCTGTACCGCTTGTGCAACCAGCGAGTTGAGCATAGTTAGGGACTGAGGTGAGCATAGTTAGGGACTGAGGTGTGGTGAGCGTGGAGTCCCCACTCATCTTGAGTATCCATCCCCATGTACAAGGAGGGGTGGAAGCGGTGATGGATTATATAGCGCTTGAAGTAGGTAGCAAGGAACTCGACAATGAGTCACAATAGGGAGTCATCTCACGGAAAACTTAAGCCACCACTACCTCGGAGACTGATTTTCAAACTTTCCCGTTTGTGGCCGTGCACGCCGTATCTAACGCGGCAAGGATCCCCACGCTCAACTCCTTAGAATGAACTTGCTGTTTCAAAATAGAGGGGAAAAGGCAAAGACATAAAGATTGGAGGTGATTTCATCCTCAACCATATCTACTTGAACTTGTGAGCTGCATTGAGCCCATGCAGTGAAAACCTGAGTGCACATGTGGGGACAGGGATCAGAAAAGAAAAAGGTAAAATCAAAACAATTATTTAAAAAATCCGTTTCCGATTTTAACGCATTCACCAAACAAGACCGTGGAATACCGTCAGAGACAAATGTTTTCCTCTTGATTTTTTCTTGATTTTTTTGGGGGCCCTTTGGGGGAACATGCACCACATTTGCCAGGGTGGTCCTGTTGTACCTTGTGCCCCACATTCGCACGAATGCACATGTGGCATGTCATATATATATTCTACCAACCTTGCGGACAGGCAAGCTTGCAATGAACTCCGCAACAGCTGACTCAGGCATGGTTGTCTGTGCGTTTGGCTTGTGAAGATTGCACGCTATTTTCGCCAACATTTTCTGCAACAGTAGTCCAAAAAAAGAAAGTTAAAAAACAGAGACAGTTAGTGACATAACACACACCAAACTTGACCAAAGCGCACACACAGGCATTCATGAAGCTAAAGAGGACCAGGGAGACATATATTGTCTTTTGACTCTTTTCCTTTTCATAGGAAAAACAAGAAAGAGCTAAGTCCCTAATGTTATTGCATTGAAGTTGATTGAAGAGAAGAGGAGGAGGAGGATTGTTTCCAAGAATAGTCAATGAATACTGTGTCCGGTCTCGCCTGTCGCCTTCTTCCTCCAGCATTTCTCACGCAATCTACCTCAGTCAGCCTATCCCCCTACAGATCATGTGGCCGGTATGTCTCTCACAACACTCTGCCAATGCACAAAATCACTCTGCAATGCAGAGCCAAGCAGGTGTAATGAGGAAATACCATCCGACCAAACAATGCTGGCCTTCTGGAGCAAAGACTTCTCTCCAAACATGGTGCACCATCAGGTAACTCCAAATAAGTCTCTCTCTCTCTCTCTCTCTCTCTCTCTCTCTCTCTCTCTCTCTCTCTCTCTCTCT